ATGTAGTTCAGCAGTTCATCATGAAACCTGCACTGGACTGCAAAGGACTAGGCCATATAGAGGTAGTGAAGGCCTGGCATAGCCTTGTTCTAGACACATGCGTAGTGTTTGTATGAGGTGCGCCATGTGGGGATTTGAGACAAGCTCACTAACTTACTGGCTAGATAACTTACCGGCTAGATAACTTACTGGCTAGAGCTCTGTGTGCGACTCAGCAGCTTCACTGAATTGCATGCAGACATGAATACCATGACCTTCTTGTCCTTGTTCCGCTTCAGAAAGGTGAAGAGCAGCAAGAATCTGCTCTCAGCCGGGCAAACCACATAACCTTGTGTCAATCCGGCCACCGTGGATACATTGTCCTTGGTTTTTACTTCCACAAAGACGGGCTTGTTGAGAGACAGTCTTGCCAAGTCTGCCACCTTCCTTGTCTGCGTAGCGGAGAACAAAGATGTCTGGCGCTTTTTTGGGCAAAAGTTTGATGATCATATTCATCTCTTCCTCGAAACCTACCTCAAGGATCCGGTCCGCCTCATCAATGATCAAATTCACCAGATTGTGGTAGATAAATCCTTTCGTGTTCTGCATGTGGTCCAATAGACGTCCAGGAGTTGCCACTAGAATGTTGATCCCCTTGGATAGCTTTTCGGCCTCTGGCTTCCGATTCATTCCACCCACCACAACTGCAATGGACTGGGACATGTACTTCGAAATGTTCCTGAGCACATCATAAATTTGTTGTGCCAGTTCTCGCGTGGGAGATATTGCAATGGCCCCGGCGCCGTTTCCTTAGATGGACAGTCTGTGGCAATTCCACGAGCCAAAACACTTCCTTTGACTTGCAGCACTTTAGCTACGTAACTATGAGGCCCATTATGAGGCTATGAAGCTGATTGCACTATTTTTCGCTAAGTAATGTGGTGCTGCCGATGGCATGTGGCATGCAGATTGACACGAATTGGGCGTAACGACGGACGACTACCTGCACTGGGTGAAGCATTCATGCGACAGTGCATTTGAAGCCTGCATTTTTTAGAGTACAGTATATGCGACAATATGCCAAGTTTGCGTTCACTTGTATAGGCTTGCCAAGACCTGCTGATCTGGCATTGACGCCCCAGCTGAGATAAGCGACTGGGCAAAAATTTAACATTGTACAACAAATCGCATGCGGGCACCAGGAAAGCCAACGTCTTGCCACTGCCGGTCTTTGCGGCTGCCAAGACCTCAAGTCACCAACGTGTCACTTGTCACACGGACTCACATTCGTCACCATCATTCTCAGAACCTACCCTACGCCCCAAGCTCACTCCATTGATGCCGCCAAAGTGCATCTTTGCCTTTGAGAAGGTGTGGGATGGACTTTGCCTGGATCTCTGTCATGACCTCGAAGTTACTCTCCTTCAAGGCCTGTGGAAGTTGACAACCACGGCGAAGGGTAGAAAAGGCCTTTGCCAATCTCACAAGAGCAATGCAAACCTAAGAATTTACGAACACTTGCGATCCCAAGCCATGTCTCACTGATCATCCACTCAGGTCCTTCTTCAACGGCTCGCAAATCTCCAGGGAGTCGAAGCGACTTTCGCTGAAAAAGCCCGCATGATGAATCGACTTCCTAAGTTTCAAATGAGCTTCAATGGGCTTCGAACTTTGAGCTAAAGAGTGCTAAAAGCACGGACATCCGGAATTGAAGGCTCGAAAAAGAGCTTGAAGGTGTGCTTCTGAGTGGCTGCATCTCATGAACTTCCTGCGCTGATGGGCCTTCCTCCTAGAACGGGCATGGCTCTGCAGGTAGGCTCTGCCGTACTTCTGGGGGCGTAGCAACACACCTTTTTGCAAACATCCGCGTTTGTTTGAACTCACATGGACACGGCATGGGCACTAGCACAGGCAGTTGTCTGGCTCGAGATTTTGAAAGTTCCGGTGCAACTCCTTCGGAGATCTTCGGAGCATCTTCAATCTGCTGCTAAGCAGCTCTCGCCAGGGCTGTAAAACACCAGCCTTCACACTATAAATCTGATCGAGGCTGAAACATGTTGAAGAGGTCTTTGAGTTCACCTCCTTCAAGTCTCGTGCATCTTATTCAGCATACTTCGGGTCACCGGCAACACTTACCGCGTATCAGTCAAAGGTACAGGTTCACCGAAAATCTTCAGATCATCCGGAGCTGGCCTCACTCGTGTGGAGCAACTTGAGTAGCTTGGTCCCACCCAAGTTCTGCCCTTCAGAATGCTGACCACTGCATAAAGTCGCGGCAGGCCCCTCTTTCTGAGCCATTGGTCATCCATTGGCAGCCTGAAACTTGTGGTCTTTCATCTCAACTCCAGGCACCTCTGTGAGTGTGCCATATCAGTCGGCCATGTCAAAAACGATTAAAAACGCCCTCAAACTTCCTTCCAGCTTCCAGTACAAATCCATCCGAGACAAGGCATTGGTACGAACACCACTTTGCCAGTTATTGTACATGCTGCTCACAATGGGTGGTGCTGCACCCGCAAAAATGATCAAGGTATCATCATGCCTCCCCCCTTTTCTTCAAAGAGCATGTATGTAATTGTATGTATCTCCAATCAGTGGCAAAGGGCATCGCTACTAGGAGCAAGAAGCTACTAGTTCTCCTGCCATTGCTAATTATATACTAGGAACAAGAAGCTACAGTACTAACGGTTGTCGTCTCCAGGGTCTAATAGTCTAACTCTTGGCTTTGTTCGCAACCTCGAAGAAATAGATGGCATCGGCATCGGGACAAGTTTTTCAGGCGGTTCAAGCATTGCTTTCAGCAAGCGCCAACCTCGCCAGTGGCAAAGAAAACGGTGCTCTTATGACTCTTATGCCAATAGTCGTGGGCGTGCTGGCCACACGCACCAGGTGTCATAGCCATCCTTCGAGCGAGTGTGGTTACCACACAGGCGCGTCTTGTATCCGGCATCGGCTAACTGATCTGCAATGCCAGTCAGGGACACCAGCGTAGCAGCTGTCACACACTGTGAGCGGTGAGCGGCTATGCTGGCGGTAACGGGTGCCTTTAGTTCTGGGATGTCAGAGCTGAATGCATTCACGTGCACCGCCAAGCGCCCAAACTAGATGGAAGACCGCGTGAGGATGTGTGAGGGAACAAATCTTGTGTAGTTCCGATCCAAGAGACAGCCACCAAAAATCTGTCGAGAGTCGATAAGTGCGTCAATGCTCGGTGTATATATATATATACACACATCTATCTACAGTATCTGTATCTGTGTGTGTCTTTGTATCTGTGTGTCTGTGTGGTGGTAGGGGTCTGCTTCACCCTGCTTTTCTTCAGGTGACCTTCATGCATAGCGCCGATGTGCACCAGCCACAGGCGTCCGCTGCAGAACATGTGCAGCTTTGCTGCGAAGGAAGCAAAGCCAGTAAGGAGATAAGCTCGAGTGCAAGCAACACCAAAAAGCATGCTCGGGTCTGTCCTTTTGGCTTGAGCACTGAGCAGGGCATAAAATATCTCAACATTCCTTAAAGATCCTTAAAGTAAATAGTAATCCAACGACGGATGTGCTCTTTGACTTCTCCGGCATGTAACATGTTTGACAAGTCGACCAGTTTCTCCTTCTGCTCTTCAGCCTCCTCTTCTTCGTCATCATCTGCTTCCACCGAGTCTGGCTCATCCTGGTCCTCTGCAGTGTTCTTTTTAGCCTTCTTCTTTTTCGTCTTACCTAATCAGAGCACTGCACAGCAGGATTCGCTTCAATGTGCTGGAGTGGCTGCAAAGGCAAGGCGCTCTTTTTCTTTGGTGGCTCCTGGGGTTCTTTCTTCTCCGCCTCTTCTGCTACACCATCCGCTTCTGTCTTGCCATTTGCCTTCACAGCGAAATTGAAGTGTGGGTCGCGCAGAGCTGTATGACTGCATGCACCGCCTTCTTTTTCCTTTTCTTTCCCTTCTTCACCGGCTCCTCTTCTGCCTCCTGTACTGGAGGCTTGAAGTCCTGGCTGGAAAATGCTAAGACACCAAAAATTCAACTGCGCCACAATGTGCCAGTCGCCTTGCCGTCATCCATGATCACCTAATCATGGCGCACCCGGACGGGCTAGTGAATAGACACAGCATAAATTGTACTTGGGCGCCACAAACGCTACTATTGGAGAAAAAATGATAAGCCCTGCCTCGCCATCGTCATCATCACTGCTATCCAGCCCCTGCTCTCGTCTTCTCGCTCGTTCCGCCTGCAAGGAAGCGGAAGCGCTGCAAAAGCTGCACAAGCTGTACCAGCACACAGCACCAAGGCAACAAGGCAAGCACACAGGGCACCTCCTGGGATTCGAGTTTTTTGAGTTTCCGTTTTGCTCTCCTCTCTCGCCACTTGTCCTCAGATCAAATGTTTGGTTGGCCGATGTGTTTGCAAAGTGGCGGCATGCAACAACAAATGGGCTCTGCTCAAGATGTTGCCCATAATGCAGGGTATACCTTCAAGGCCTTGGGCCGCTCTTACTGCCAGCAAGACTCCGCCTTGATTGGCTGGGTTGTCACATACAGTTCAGGCTCCTCCTTGTCTGCTTCAGCTTCAGGTGCCATGATGCCTGCCAGCTTAGAAGTGACCAGTGACAACTATAAATGAGACCTCCTCAAAACATGAGCCTTCTGCTCCATAGAGAGAGGGGAAGGTTACAAGAAAGTAATTGCATGTGTTGTATATCATGTCATTCTAGATTCTATATCATATCACATGCCACAACGATTCCTTCCACCCCTTGTCTGAGTCTGAGGCTGCTGCTGAGGTACGGCAGGCGCAAAGAATATGCTCATTGCTAGAGCCGTGGCAGCCACGGGTTCCAAAGCCGACGAAGCTGGCCATGAAAGTGCTGGTATGCGTTCCTATGCCCAGCAGGTTCTGAAAATGGAACTGGTACAGGGCAGTTCGGGGCAAAGTCTTGAGTTCGCTCTCTGAGAGGCACTTAGGGGGCCGACATCCAGGAGGTTTGCACATTTGCTCCCGAGCACATCTCAAGTGTCGCCACTGAGCGCAAGACCGGCGAGATCGACTGTCGGCCTCACCCCATTCCCTCACGTCCTGAACATAATCTGTGGCACACAGACAGTTTATCTTCTTTTATTATCCCCTATTTGTCCTTTCTTTGAAGTCAGTTCAGTTTATGTTGCCCAGGGGTGTGCAGAAACAAACAAGAAACGCAACAATATGAATGAAGGGAGATGAGATTGAGCTCATCGGGCTGGCGTTATGATGGTAAAGTCATGCATGAAGGGCGGCACACCTCCTTCCAATTTGATCGCCAGGCGTTGTCCTTCCAGGTTGTCATTGCAGTAACCCACTGAGCAACTCTGTGTATGTGGAACACTTTGGCAAAAACTTTAAACAAGATCAGGAAACTCACGGTTGCGTTGCATTTTCGACTACAGTGGTCAGCTTGGTGATGGACCCGTGTGTGCAAATAGAAAGATTGAAGGGTCTTCTGGCAACAAAGCAGCACAGCTATCCAAGTGTATGGCTCGCGCATTGCGTGACCTGCGCGCATCATGTTGTGGCAAGTTGATGACGAAGAGCAAACATGTGAGGTGTCCATGCGTGGCACCTGCTGTCTCTCTGATTCCAATTGGCATGGTCGTAGTGCCGGTCATCTCCTATGTTGGCTTTGCACAGAACAAGCATCGACTTGACCACAGTGCAACAGGATGCAGCATGAAACATGCCTTTCACATTCGGATTGAGTTGCGTACTGTGCCACCGAGAGGAACGCCCTTGAAAAAAAGGGTATCATATCTGAATAAGAAAGTTAGCGCTGTCAGTCTCTTGCATGTGGCGGCAAAGATTCTTAAATTCTCGTGCCTCTACCATGTGAACCATTGTAGTCCTGGGCCTTGCACTGTCGTGCGTCTTCTTGCTAGCGTCCTTGCTCCTAGTAGCGATGCCCTTGTTTGTTACTAGTAGCTTCTTGCTACTAGTAGTATGGCCAGGAGGTACTAGTAGATTCTTGCTCCCCCCAGCCTCTCGATCACGTGAATCAGCTCTGACCTGCAAGTATGACTCACTCGATGTCACGAGTGCGTCGAGCGCACTCTGAGTCCTACAGCGCAATACAACTCTAGGTGTTCACGTTCCAGATGCCTTTTGATCTCAATTCTAGGACTTTTATGTGCATACCATGCCAGCGTGGTCTTCTGTGGCTGGCAAATTATACGCGCCTTCGAACGAGAACCACGGCGTGACCGTGGGTTCTTCCGTCGGGCCTGGCAGAATCAAACAACTTGTCATGCACTTCCTCAGGTTCCTCAAATCAGCCCACAAGGCCCAGGGATTCTCTATGTCATGGTGACCAGCCTGTGTGGGACTTCCGTTCAAGCCACTCAAGAATGCGCCCATACGTTCACATCTGACCTACTCATGGTAGTACTGAGAAAAAACACTGTAAAACACGTGGGAACACGGGGCGTATGCAAAAACATGTCTACTAGAAAATCAACGCAATATGCAAACACCCGTGTAGAAGCCAAATGTTGGCCGAACAAACCACCAAGATTTAAAAAAAAAATCAGACAATAACTGAACTAGAATTGCCCGGCTTCACCAAGAAGTTTGGTTCCTTGGTTCTCCTTGTTGTTTTTATCGAAAGGTACTTTGGACTTGTGCCTTCAGTGCTTGAGAAAAAACAAACAAGTCGTCTTTCAAACTGTTGGGCCACAACAGCCAACGACCCTCTAGAGAAAAATAAATATATATAAATACTACAAAAAGGAAAACATTGGAAAACCAAACTTTTTAGTAAAATCAAAATGTCCATGCTTAAAACCGTCTTGTTGGCTTTTAGATGTCTGGTGCGCAGAAAACTCAGAGAAACAAAACAACACAGTGGCGTTTGGTGCTCAAAATGCAATGGCAAAACCCAAAGACCCTCTGGAGAAAACCAATCAAAAACAAAACAATTAAACACAATTATCCCGGCAAGAGACCCCAAACAGTGTTTTGAGGTCTAGAGATCTGGACTTGTTGGGCTCCAGAGCAATCTAGAGGCCTAGAGGTCCAGAGGTCTAGAGACCTAGAGGTCTAGAAAGATCTAAACGCCTAGACATCGAGAGAGGCCTAGAGGCCTGCAGGTCTAGTGGATGTACATCTAGAGTTTGGGATCTAGGAGATCTAGAGGTCTTGAGATCCAGACAGATCTTGAAGGTCTAGAGATCCAAAGATCCGTAGGTGCAGAGGTCTAGGGATCTAGAGGTCTAGAGATCCAGAGGTCTAGGTGTCTTGAGATTCAGAGAAATTTGGATGTCTGGAGGTCTAGAGTCTGGAGTTGTAGAGGTGTGGAGGCCTAGAGATCCAGAAGACTCTAGGTCTCCAGGTCTAGTAGAGGCCTGGGGATGGATCCAAGAAGTTTAGGTCTAGAGGCCTTGAAAACCTACAGGCCTCAAGGTCTACAGGTCTAGCGTGAGGTCTTGGGATTCAGGGAGCTCTTGAGAACCAAAAGCTTTCGAGGTCTAGAGTCTAGAGACCCGGAGGTCTGAGCCGAAAGATCTAGAGGTCGAGATCTAGAGGGTCTAGAGGGACGTGTGTTCAAAACTAATTTACAATGTGTGTTTTTTTGCTCTCATGAGCCTTTGTTGCTTTGGTTTCGATGAGTGGTTCCTTAATTGGAGAACAGATTCCCAGCCAGCACATGAGTCTATGAGTTTGCTTTTGAGTTCAGCCAGGACTATCACAAGTAGCAAACCAAGAGTAGCAAATCAAGATTGCCCAAACGTCAGCAATGAATTCTGACAGGCTATTGCCAGACTATGGGCCAGCCATCTCTTGTCCATTTTGGATGTGCAATTAGTCCTGTGCTGTAATGCTTCTCCTTTTCTTCATAAATTCGTCCAGTCTTGAGGAGCTTTCTTGGGCGTTGGGCGAGGAGCTATTATATGATATTTCTTGCTAACAATATTCCTCTTGGTATGGCAGCTCGATGGGTTCCCAGCCTTTGATAACTAGCTGATGCCCCATACAAGACCGTATGCACAGGTAGCTTTCTTTGTTCAAAGGCAGCTTCTGCATGCAAGGTGCACTGCCTGCTGGATTGCAAATGTCTTGCAATGAATAATGATCACAATGGTGTTCTTACAGGTAGGGTAAAACATCGACCAACTCTCCTTCAACGGCGATCGCAAAGGGACCGCCGAGCGTGAATATGGCATATCACTTATAAATGACGCGTTGTTATAAGACTTCTTCCTGAAATTCAGGAGTCCTTGCGTGCTGCCGCTTGTTTCCCTTCTAAAGCATGCAGGTAATAGTCATCATTCAAATGGCGCTAGTGGAAATTGTGCCAAATGGCTGACCATTCACAAAATGCATTTGTGTTGAGGTTGTGCTAGCGGATTGCTAGTGGTGTAGCTAGCGCAAAAAGATCAATGCAAAAACACATGTAATAGTGGTTTTTGAATGCTTCCCGAATTTTTGTCAGCCCTCACAGAGTTGACCTGCGCCATTTTTTTTACAGGAAGAGAGAGAGAGAAACGAGAAACGAGGGGTCTGTGCTGCTTGCCTGTAGCTCAAGATCCTCCGCGTAGTCCCCATTTCTTGGCGATGGACCTCGTGGAGTTGTTCTGTCAACCCACCAAGATCACTAGAGCTTTAGAATTGTGACCAGTGAGAGAAATGCGACAAAGAACTCGTCAGCAAGTGTCAGCAAAGCACAGGTTGACATGTTGTAAGACATTTGCTTTGTAAACGTCTATATAGCTACTTCACCTCTAGTTTTGCTCTTCTTATTCCCTTTCTTATTTGCTTTATTTTGTTGTATCAGCCTTCTTACGTTTGTTCTATGGTCTTGTCAATCGTTCTTATCTGAGATATTGCTTAGCATTGCACCAAAAAGCCAACTCGGCATCTTGCTTATTTTAAAAAAAAAGAAACACTCTTCAGCTCGGGACAGTACGACGATGACAACAGGCAACATTACTCATCACAAACAGCCAAACAAGTCTGCACGACTTCCAACATTCGCCGGGAGTCTGTATGCGTGGCGCATTCTATTCCATCAGCCACTGCGTGCACCAGCCCTTCTAAGCTCAGAACGCCCCATACAAGAGTTGAGAGCCTTCCTTGCTGCAGGAGGCAAAGTGTATGATAAAAGTGATTAAAGCAAAGTATGATTCAAAAATGTGCTAATTCCAAGAAGTATTAATAAGAGCATGGAAGGCACCTGGAGATCTTTTCGAGCGACGGTCACTGGTGAACTGATGCGATCTGGGGGGCCAAACAGGCAAAAATGCCGCTGAGCGATGGCAGCTGGTCACATCGATTGGTCGGATGCTACTGGCTTAACATGGTGTGAACATGGTGTGAACATGTGAGGGTGGAGTGGAGTTTGAATGCTAAGTCAGGTGCTTTTCGAGTCTTGAGTCTTGCGTGCCCGATCTGGCACATAGTCCTAAGTCAGGGTCCTGATGGCCTCTCTCAAGTCTAGTCTAGCACAGATGGGAATTTGTACAGAGTTCATATTGATCTTGGTAATGGGTTGGCGCCACTGATCTGAAATGATGACACGTACTTATGTGGGCAATATCTATGCTGTATGTGTAAATCATGTGCCGCATGTGTATCGTGTATGACTCAGTTGTGGCAAATGTCCTTGCTCTCTAGCCTTATATGTTGGATGATGTGATCAAATGTCAGCATCGGGCAACATCGGAGAAAGGGCTCCAGGTACTCCTCTATGACTCTATGACATGCCAATGATCAAGTCGCAGCCAACATGGGATTGGCAGCTCCACAATCGACACTCGGCACGTTATGTCGGTTTGCACAGCTCTTGTTGGCTGCTAAAATCTACAGCTTCCAATGCCAAATGGCATCTTGGCCATCTGCTAGCTGCTAGCAGAAACCAGCAGGACAAACAAACAGTAAGAAAGACAAGGAGGAAAGAAAGCTGCCATGCTGGCTTCACCGCTTGAAACTCTGATCGGGGATCCATGTCGAATAAGGGTCATCGAGTGCCTGCGGTGATCACAAAGTTGTGACAAGCAAAATGTTGGCAGCTTTGCCTTCAAAGACTTTCGTCTCCGAACAACAAGCTGCACCTTGATGCCCAAAGCTGGAAAACCTGAGGCACTATGCAAGGCTGGGACAGCTGTCAGCAGCAGGTGCCACCAAAGCACTGTTGAAATTTCTACCAAGTGTATCACTGTCCAACTGGCCGAAGAAACGAAACCTAAAATCCACTTGTTCCAGCTGGAAGTGAGTCTCAGCGGGAGACGGAGCTGGATTCACCCCTGACGTCGCAGTGCCAATGGGGCGAAAAGGCCTGAAAATGTTCAGGCTCTGCCAATGTGTTTGATCCTGTTTGCCTCGACCCCCCCAGGACTCAGGACCAGCCTCTCCCTCTCTCTCTCCACATACATGTGCGTATAAATACCTATAATATATATATATATTATATATACATTATATATATACAGTATAAACATATGTGTGTGTGAGACGAACAAACTAACAAATATGAGTCAGCTGACTGAGTTCAAAAGAGTCAGTTTGGGTAAGTCTTGCAACATTTGCAACTGGGTCTAGTGCAGCCCAGGGCCCGGCGTCCAAGGTCCTTGACTTATTCCAAGAAAATTCCGAGAGGTTCTTTCGACTATTAGCCACGCATGTAAATGTGACATCCCATGACTTGGCGATGTTACTAAACCTCCCTTTGCGCTAGAAACTCCATGCAGGAACAAAGGAAGACCCACACCAAGCTTCAGAGCTCTTACAGTCTGGCACACCTTCAACAAAACTTACAGTTGCACTGTACACAAGAATGAACATCATTCTCCGGATGCATCACCCATCATCAGACTCAGCCCCTGATGCTCCGTTTGCTCTTCAAGCCATGGTTTATCCACCACAGCACGCGCACACACACACTTTTAGAAATGCGTACTGATGTGAATGCGGTGCCACACGCCGGCCTAAGAACCCAAATCCTGAAAGGTCCAGGACAATCCTAAAGGGCCTGGGGGTCTTCAAAAGGAAGTGGGGCCAAACGCGCGCAAGTCGAAGTCGAAACGACAGGGTGACGACGGCCGCTCACATCTGCAGATGCACTAGCACTTTACAAAAGAAAAGGAAGAAAGGTGGCCACCAGCTGCGTCTTACAATGCGCCCAGGTGCACCAAGCAGGTACGTTTTCACGACAGCTTGGATGGGTCTTCGTTGGCCGTGTCCATGGGCCCCCCCTGCTCAAAGCAATCCTGTTCACAATTCAAAAGAATCCCTGTGACTACAAGGGGCACACTCACACACGCGGAGGCGTAAAGCTAAGGCACCTGAAGGCAAATGTGCACGCGTGCGCGCGCAAGAGACAAAAGGATGAAGACATGACAGAAGGACGAGACGGGACAAAGGTGCGTGTGGTTGTGATGAAAGGGGAACCAAGTGCAGGGACAAACCATGAAACCCAACTCATTATAAAGACCTGGGCCACCTAAAACCTGAGTTTAACGTACATGTAGTTGTGCACGAACACGCTAAGGCCGGGACCAATGTGCGCGCAAACGAAAGAAAGGATGAGATGAAAGACATGAAGACAGGAGGACATGAAAGAAAAGAGGGGAACAGAGGTGTGTGAAGGGGAAAAGGATGAAAGGGGAACCAAATGGAGGGGACGAAAACCAATGAAGCCAAACCTTATTAAAAACCTAGGCAAGCCTCGTTGAACCTGTACGTGCTGTGTGCTGTGTGTGCACCTAAGGTCACGACAGACTCCAATGAGTCTACACGAACTTGGGCCGCTACGGCCACGCAGGCCGTGCCAAAATGGCTGGCTGCTTAGACCGCTGCGGTCACGTAAAGGCATGAACCAGCTTGGAATTCCACAGATGAGGCAAAAATCTGAGTTCTCTCGGCCTAGGCCACCTTCGCCCGCTCCGGGCATGGGAGATAATGACAAACCCCCTTTCGACGGGTCCGCGGGAGGCACTCTGCGGACTCATCCCGGACTCTCACTAGGAGAGACACACTTTTAGAAATGCGTACTGATGTGAATGCGGTGCCACACGCCGGCCTAAGAACCCAAGTCCTGAAAGGTCCAGGACAATCCTAAAGGGCCTGGGGGTCTTCAAAAGGAAGTGGGGCCAAAAGCGCAAGTCGAAGTCGAAACGACAGGGTGACGACGGCCGCTCACATCTGCAGATGCACTAGCACTTTACAAAAGAAAAGGAAGAAAGGTGGCCACCAGCTGCGTCTTACAATGCGCCCAGGTGCACCAAGCAGGTACGTTTTCACGACAGCTTGGATGGGTCTTCGTTGGCCGTGTCCATGGGCCCCCTGCTCAAAGCAATCCTGTTCACAATTCAAAAGAATCCCTGTGACTACAAGGGGCACACACACACATAGATACGCACCCTTCAAGCGGTCTACGTGGCAAGATCAGGTCAAACTATAGCCGCAATAACCTGGTGAATTCAATCGCGGGATGCATTGACGAAGATTCGCAACTGGCAAACTGGCACATCTTGAAGAGGAAATCGCAAAAACACCCATTGCTGCTCTCCTCCAGGCTGATTTGGCTCTGCTGCGCTTGCTTGCCTTTCGCATCAAAGCACCCCAAGTTTTTGACTCAACATCTCAACGAAACTGGATAAAAGTGGGAGGCAGCAATAGACAAGAGCGTCTCTATCATGCACAGGGCAGGCTCAGCAGGTGTCCAGGTAATGAAGCAGCACACGTGAAGAACACGTTGACAACGGTGTCCCTACCTCTTCTTCTCTTGGTCAGCTTGATGCTGTTGGAAACCTGCCTTAGCACCATGTTGCATGGTGCCCAACTTTGGAGGTGGAATTCTGCGGCCAAGTCAGCAGTCTGGGGGGGCTTACCCACGCTGGGCCCGTGTTGACAGAGAAAGTATTCCCCTGCGGGTGATGTGCAATTTTGCAGGAAGATATATGCAGTTGTGCAATCATACACCAATGAACCTTCAAGGTGAGCAATGCACAAGCAAAACGTGCAAAAAAGGCAAAGGAAACGCAAATCCAGATCTCATACAAGCCCATTCAAGGTCACGCTTTCCAAAGTGGGCAAATATACAGAAAAAGGGATGCAAATGCAACAGTTGTACAATTGTGTCTGTATGCAAAGCTCTTCAATCCCCGCGCCCGCTTGCGCTCCGCGCAGCTTTCGTCTTGATTTCAGGCTGGGAAATGGTTGAAGGAAAAGCTACGGTGCCCTTCTTTGCATTAAGCATTTCACTTGGCCACCTTGGCAATTCCCACTACTGACTATTCCAGCACATGAGAGGCAACAAATAAGAGGCAACAATTGATTTCATCTTTAATATATGGAATCTTGTCATAGGTACTTCCCAGAAGTTTTTGATTATTGTGAACTTTTCTGATTCACCATCACACAACACAAGGCCTTCGGCCTCCTTCGCCAAGTGTTGCACGCGAATTCTGCGACAAGAGGTTGGGCCCCAGCGGCGAGGCTCGGGGATTGCAAAAGGCGGGCATGTGTGGCCACCAGAGCAGTCAAACACATGCTTCAACACTCGGGACCCACTGTAGCACGATCTGATGTGCATAAGTGCATACCCTATCCAAGATATATATATATATATATAATTCTCTCAGGCCGACAGAGTAAGAGGCACACTGCTCCGAGTTGTTCGTTCCGGTGGTTCTCTCACAAAACCTCTTGCTTCCTAGGGCCTAGGGCTCACACACTGTCACATTGCCCTTTGTCAGCCATCCAACACCCAAGCTAGAGGTGCAACAGCTCATCACCAGCCGCATTGGAAAACATCGAACAACATCAAACACTCCGCTTTGGAGTTGATCTGCAGAGATCATATAGAGATTGTACATTTTGGCACCCAACATCTACTGCAAAAAGGCCTTCCCCTGCGATCTTCTGCGATACCTGGTGCCTAAATTCGTTGGGATCACATGAGGTCTCTGCAGTGGTGAAAAAAGCACGTTGTCATGGCTGCTGTCAGCACACCTCCAATCATATCAAGGAAAAGTGCAGGAATACACGTGCATCATTTTCTACGCTCTGCCCATCTCATCATGATTCAGTTACGTAGTGATATTGAGATTGTTTGCTACATAGCAATCGCCCCCTCTTATATACACCAACCTAGCACATCACCGCACAAGGCCTCAGGTTGCTTCCAACTCCGCAATGATTTTTCGAAGACGCCGGACCTCGTCAAAGTCACCACCTGCGATGAGGCCGTTGAAATCATGCATGAAATGAGCCTGGCATACACTCTTAAAATCTCTTAAATGTAAAATGCAATCATGTGTGACCGTATCTGCTGGCGGCATCTCTTAGAACACTGTGTACCAAATCGTCATTGTCGTTGTGTGGGTCATTGGGTCACATTTGGTGGCTGAACTCTCCGCCCCTGCATCCGCACCTGCAATGAGAAGCCTCTGCAGGGTTGCTTGTGCTTCATTCTTCGATAGCCTTGTCTTGAAGCCGGCCAAAGAAGTTGTTGCAGGGTCACAATGATCTCAATTCAATCTTTGCAACACACATAGATACACTATATATGTTCAAGAATTCCAAATGAGGCCATGTTCCATCAAAAAGTAGGGAAGCCTGACCTTCATGGCTTTCCAATATGTAAACACCCCGTCAGCCCGAACGTTTGGCACCTTGATCCTGCTAAGCCAGGACCAGCGAAGCCTTTTGATGTCTTGTTACCCCAGAACTCCCGGAGCTCCTCGTGGAACCGAGAGCTCTTCAGGCACGAGAAAATGACAAATGACAAATGAATGAGTGATGTTGCATGTTATTGTGCAGTTTTGCTTCACACCTGTTATTTTTTTTTTCAAACTGTTAGTGTTCATAATCCCAAGCACGTAATTTCAGCTTAGATTAGCATTTTGATTCTGCTGTGTTGCAGGGCTTGGATTACAGAAAAGGATTGGACAATCTGCAAGAAAGCTACGCGCCCAAAGCACAAACAACGCCGTCCAGTGTGTTTCAACTAAGCTCCTTCAGCCGTCCAACCTCTGGTGTGTGAACGCTCAAGTACGCATCCGGTGCTGGCAATTGATGCAGTGGGGGAGCTGGAGGCTCCTCAGCAGCCAAACGGGTGCAAACCATGCCCTTCCCGGTTCCCTGTATTAGCCTCTCCCTCTCTTGCAACTCGAATCAGGAAACACGACTCGCAAGAACCGTGTCCTGTGAAATCTTCTCTGTTTTCACCACCATAGGTGGTGGTTCTGCCCTCTTGGCAGATGCGGTGGCAGCCATCAAAGGCGTAGGCATCGGCAATCGTGTCGTCTTTTCCGAATCCTTTTGTGGCTTTACGTGCCTCACCAATCGTGCGCAAGGCAGCCAACGCGCGACACAGCAGTGGAAGGTTAACTTGAGTTGCAGTAAAGAACTCCGGTTGGGTGGCATTTTGGCATCGACTCGCCTAGTAGAATCTTGTGAATCATCAGATCCTTTCCGCTGTACAGCCTCTATGGCCTTCTTCTCGGACTCCTTGGAATCATGCAGTGCGGTCTGAATTCTCTGTCCCTCCAGCCCTGAGCAGTCCTCCTCCTCAGCTATAATCTTCAAAGCGTCTTCGCTCACATTGCTTGGTTCAGCTGACCTTACCACAGAAATAACACACAAACGCGCGCATATATGCACACACACACAAACGGTGCGCGGAAACTACATGATTGGCAGGTTTCTCCGGTGAATTGCATTTCTGGTGGGAAAACAAAACGTGGACAGGAAGACCTTCCTTGTCGGGGAAGAACTTGCTTGCCGGCCCAGCTGCCTGTGCTCAGGCTCGTCTGTCTCATCGACACATGGCGAAGCTTCAACTTGCTCGAGTCCTTCACCTGTGCTCTCCTCAGCATCTTCTCCTGTATCTTCATCCTCCTTTTCAGCATCCTTATCAGACTCCTCCTTCTTAGCCTCCTCTTTCTCCATCTCCACGTTCTCCTCCTCCCGCTCCTCATCTACCTCAACCAAAGGTTGGCTTTGCTCAGAAGCCTTTGGCGTCATCAGCGGGGAGTAGTGTTCCTCTCGGTCCTCTTCTTGCACAGCTGGCAAAGGGTCCGTGGTACTCCGGTCCAACACAGGTGCCGCTGGGGCAGTTTCAACATGAGTGACCTGAGGTTCTTCAAGCTCATCAAGCTCTGGTCTCCGATCACTCCCGGGAGCAGCACGTGATATGCCACCTCTGGTTCTCAATGCATTCCCAAGCGATTTTCTCCCTGAGGGATAGCTCTCCGAACCTCAGAGCATGACAAGATCCACCAATTCCACAAAAGCTGTGAGCAAACCCCTATGAAATACAATAAAGTGTATGAGTAGCAGCTCCTGCAATGAGGTGAAATTGTTGCTTGGATGTGCTTGCTTCCAGTGTATATAATCGAATATACAGTATATAAATGGAATGGTCACCAGTGCCACCAGAGATTTGCCTCCACCCTGGTGAAAAACATATCGAAGCTGTCCATCTGGAAAAACCATTAGTAGTTCAGACATCTGAATCAACAGCTTACTACGTTTGACTCTTAGTTTGGGTCATTGACAATCGTCTTCGAAAGTACATACAGTATACATGTATGCATATGACATATGTTTAAAGACTCTTTCATTTCCTCTCCCTCAACCGTTCTGCCACCAAAGTGCGGCCCTCAGGAGCACTCTTGCGGGGAGACATCAGGAGGCCATCTTGCTTGGCCTGCGTTCACTGGCGCGGAGAGACATTGCCAGTATCATCCAGTATATATGATCTTGAAGCCGTCTGGACAACAATTTGTGATAAAGTGAGCCGACTGCATTTTCCCCAACAGGGACTCAACCGCAATTATCTATCTATCTATCTATCTATCTATCCATTTATCTATCTATCTAATTCTATCTATCTATCGATCTATCTAGTCTGACTTTCACATCTTCGATGTCCACAATGGACAGCTAGGAGAGAGGGAGAGAGGGAGAGAGGGAGAGGGAGAAGAGGGAGAGGGAGAAGAGGGAGAGGGAGAAGAGGGAGAGGGAGAAGGAGAAGGAGAGGGAGAGGGAGAGGGAGAGGAAGGAGAGGGAGAGAGGGACAGTAGTGATATCTGGCTTGATTCCATCTAGCTGTTGAAGTGATAATATGATCATATGACAATGGATGCTACGGTGGCCAATGCGGCCACGGTGCCATGCCACTCTCATGTTATGAAAGCACCCCTGCCTCTGGTTCTGCGGCACCTCCAAGGGTGCTGGCGCGTACGCGGTCAATGGCACCCTGGATGGCTTTGGACCCGAAGGCATTCAGGTTCAACCAGTCCAAGGAGCTCTTTTCAGGATCTGCCTCATTATCCTGCAATGTGTGGATGTCAGGCACTAAAATCATTGGATATCATTGGGCTGTCATGGGCAGTGGTGCAGGGCGATTCGGGGTGCTAGCTGCTAGCTACTAGCTTCTTTTGGAGTGCGAGTCGCACATGGAGATCCTTGATACTTTGTCACTATGATTTAGCGTCCCTCGATCTACCACAACGTGGCCTCAACATCTGTTGGGGCTGGGGGCTTGATGGAGATGCCACCCCGCGACCTCAGTTTCATCAAGAATTGGACAGCTTGGAAATAAGAAGAAATGTCGTTTGGTTCTTAACTCTCTTCGATCTTCTGGGCGCCCCTGACCGCATGGCTTCCCGCAATGGATTTTCATTGCCACCCACAGAGCGGCGGGGGGGCACGTCGGCCCAGCCACGACATGGCAAGCGGCAGCAGTAGCTGCTATTGCCACAAATCTTGGCTCAAAAAGCTGTTCATCTACCCCCTTAGCGGGTCTGCAACAAACTTATCATACTATATAATCTCCCCATGGTTTGGTCATATCATTGATCATTTGATGTGGCAACATCGCCCTGCGAATGGCTGCTGTGCTGAAGGTGTCAGGAAGACTGAAACAAAATGCTCAAAATCGCAGCTTCTGCCACGACCCGGAACTTGGGAGCATGAGCCAGCGGGCAGAAACATTGCACATGCAGGGGCAACAGACCCGGTCAACAGCCCTAAAACATGTGCAAGGTTGACCTACTTCGTGGACAGTTGGCCTGAGGAAACAGCCCCTGAGGCCACAAATGAGGCCTCAAAGCCGATCAGCAAGCTCAATCCATGCAACAATCCAGATGCCAAAAAAATACAAAATGGAGCCCACGAACCCAAATGAACATACGTAACGGCCAAACATTGTTTGAGACTCTTGTGGGGCACGCTTGTAGGACACTCCGCGGGGACACTGTTGCAGGACGACACCCTTGTGCCTCCAAAAGTGAAGCATCAAGTCTTCAAAATGAGCGTTTCAACACGTCCTCCGAAATAGTCACACGTCACGTCTCCCAAACAAGCGTTTCTTCTTCCCAACGTCGCGCGTCAAGTCTCCAAAACGAGCATTTCGTACGAGACGTCCTCAAAAAGTATCCACAAGTGAAGCGGGAAGCCTTATTAAAGAGAACACATAAGCAACCATGCCAGCAACTTGGCATCCCGGGGCCCCTCAAAACGCCAATCCCAATGGCATGGAGACATTTGCCCCCACCAAACGTCCCAACCTCACAATTCCCTGCACCTGCCACAAAAATTAAACTTCAACTTCCACACCTCCAACAGGCACAAAGTGCTGCCCCTACCACGAAAAGTTACTACAGTACGTCACATCTTCTTGTCTTCAGCAAAAGTTGCACCACGCCGCACACCATGCCGCACATTTGGGATGATTTCGACACTTGATGGAACAGAGCTTCAAGGCAAGGGCCCGAAAAGCAAATCTAATGGCACGGCCGCACTCAACCCCTCCAAAAGACCACCCCGCAAACGCCAATCCCAATGGCACAACTGATTATCTCATGAAACCTTGCAGCTGCGCAGCAAAATAATCCTCTACACGTCAGAATGTTAAGTGACTACGCTATTTCACACGAATCTGACATTTCAACTTGAGGCTTCCATCCAAAACCCCCTCCAAAAGCTTCCCCTAACGGCACGGCCTTATGCATCACATTCAAACGGTTGCAAACAGTTGTGAACAGTTGTCACGCGAACAACACTCTACACTCTACTCTCAGACTCCAAAATTGAACAAGAACCCTTCGCTACGCATTCGACAACAAACAACTGCTGCTCAAACTAATCACAGTACAGTGCATCGATGTGTATAGTATTTTTTCCATCGCCTTCTCAAGGAGGCGTATAGTTTGTTTGACAAGCATGCCTAGTCCCAAGCCCCTGGCGGGATATGTCCAGTCTTTGCCATCTCCTCTTCCAGCTGCTTGACTTGGCGTTGCAAAGCAAGGCAACCCTTCGACAACGCAATGCCTTCTATATAATGCCTTCTAGCTGGAGATTGTCTGGACCCACGCTAGCACGTCGGCAGGCTAGGGTGGGCATCAATTCCTACATAAATCATTTGATGGGCGCAATTTCCGGCCTTTTGTCTGATTACAGCTAGAGGCCCGAGGTCTATCTAGGCCGGCCAAATGTCAATGTCCTCCTGAACATTTTGCCCATCATACATACTGTTGCATCACTTGCCAGGAAAACAAGGCTAGCCGGGCGCGCGGTGGCGCCGCTCGAACAACCCGCGCTTGCGAACAACAAGCCTTCAATCCTTGAAATGGTGCTTGATAGTGCCTGATTGTTATTCTCCCGGACGACATGAGAGAAAGGCAACTCAGTGCAAGGCGTCGCTGATATCCTTGGTAGGCAGGTGGATTGTAACCGATATATCCATAGACCATAGAATTGTGGCACCGCACATTTAATTTAGCTCTTGAAGTCTTTTAACACGACTTGACAAGCAGGCTGGTTGAAGAGGGTGGTTCAGATTGGTTCGTTGTCGAAGCAAAGCGGCCACCACCACTGTCGATGTGGATGCCGCCCCCACCAGGCAGCTCAAAGCTGAATCCACCTGCAGCATTCTCCTTGATCGTGCCACTGGTCCCAAACCTGAGGGTCGGGGCTTGGGTGCTTGAAGCACTAGTCACTAGCATGAACAACTCCGTATCTCATGCGTAATTGATTCAAGTGTTGGTCACAGCTGGCATTGGAGTACTCAGTGTTGACTCTAGCTGATTCCAGTGTTGACTCTAGCATGCTAGCATTCAGTGTTGATCCAAGCATGTCTGTCCAGTTGAGTGTTATCCTTGTGGACTTCTAGGTTTGGGGCACTCCGTCTTCTCCGTAGTACGGTGAGTTCATGAAGGTGCCAATGCTGGGATTCCTGACAATCAGCTATAGAAATCCTTGCTTTGGATCCTAACTAGGTGTGCACGTCCTCGGTTCTGCCTGTCTTACTGATCTGGACATAAAGGCCAAGGAAGAAACATGCAGTAAGAACAAGAACGCTGCATGAGATATTTTCCAATTGGGACATCTTCTTAATCAAGTGTTCCGCAAAAAATTGCATGACGCTACACATCGTTGAGCAAAAGGCTTGAAGAACTCGTCCACACTTCTTCCTGCCAATCGGATGCAGTACAACCATCAACAACAAAAGGATGATTGTCCAGTCTCCAACAATCCACGACAAAAACAAAAATGATACCCGTTACAAAGAAAGCCAGCATTGAATGAAAGTAGGCGTCAATCCGATGCAACACAACAAATCAATGGCAAGCCAACTATGTGAGCGAGAAGAAGCTTTAGAAGGAGCAGCAAACACCTGTAGCCTTCAGTATTCTGCTCTTGCGGCCTACAGCCTCTCCATAATTTTCTTGCAGGCCGGCTCAGCCAGCTGCACTATCTGGTTCATCGTGATATGTTTTGCTCACATCTTTCAACCTGTGAAAATGATTGGATGATATTGGAAGCTACTAAGAGTCTCGTTGCGAGTGTAGAAGAGGGGGGGGGTTGCCTTCCAAACAGTTTCAGGCCTTGGACCTGTGGCATGTCTCATCTTCCCAAGTGGCCCAAGTTCAAAGGTCCTGGGTCTTCATTTTCGCCTGCATCCTCGGAAAAACTTCACACTGAAAGGACTTGGGCGTTTCAATATGTCAATCCACCAGAATACAATTGGCAAGCCTCTTGGAAAGTCAAAAAGGCTAAAGGCAACCAGTCTAACTTCCATAATCATAATCCCTTTGACACCACCATACGGCTTGCCATGGGGTGTCAACGGAATAGTCTACAAGTCTACTTCTTAGCTTCGCCGCGATCAGGGCTCCAAAAGCCCCCAGCTGACCACAAAGCATACGCTATTCTGCAAGCGGGTAGCGCGCTATTTTCAGCCAGAAAGGGGCTCATGTACGAGTACATGTTCAAGCTGTACAAGATGTATGAAATGCCTAGCACCCCACTTGAAAAGGCGGGTGTCTTCAGGCGACTTTTCACAAAGGGCTTTCATCCCTCTGTGGCCCAGGGAATGCTTGGGAAGCCAACTCCCGGGCAGGATTTGCAACTCCTCAGTTGCAGATATGGCCTGCTGCGTTGCTGCAGTCGAGGACAGGTGGAATCTACATGAAACACTTCTCTGCCCTCCAGGATGTAAACTTCCGAAAAGCGTCCAGTGTTCCTTTCACACTGGATGGCCACATCTTTGCTCTCGGGCCGCGCCGGCTTGAAGCTCAAGCCCCCACTCAAGGCAAGGTGCCTTCCCACCATGCGGAAGCACCACCACAAAGCCGTGCCCTGCATGACCAGCAAAATGCCAAAGGCCACTGCAAGGCCCGTGAAGATCCAATCAAATCCCCACTTTGATGCTTCTGTATTGGGCTCCTCAGTCCTCACTCCCTCAGCGCTCTGCAAGAGAGTCAGCATGGCCATGACAAGGGCCCGCTTGCTGAACCCGCTGAGGGCAATGGCATTGATGCTCTCAACATGCTTCTTGCTCTCCTGCTCATAGGCTGTCTCCTCCTTCAGCCCGATGCCCAGCTTCAACCTCAGCTCATTGAACCTCTTCACTGCCAAAGCCTTGGTGCCGAAGTCTGCTGTGTTGTCTTGGCTTGGCACAGCATGCAAGCTGAACAGCTTTCGATGCAAAGCATCTTGCACCCACAATGACTTCACTTCGAGGTGTCGGATCCTCCCAACTCCCTGGCGCTGGAACACGCCACGGGCTGCGCTGCTGTCAAGGTAGACCTCCATCTGGAGCGGGAAGCCGATGAAGGCAAACACTTCCTTCATGAACAATCCCTCACTGCAGGCAGCCACGCCACCATTGAACTCAGCTTCGCCAGACGACAGGCAAAGCATCTGGAGGCTCCTGGC